TGATGTGATATTTTGACTTTAGTTTTATTTATTTATTATTTTTTTTATTCTCTGTCATATCATTAGAGTTCAATTAAAGTTTAAAATTAAAGAGATGTATCATTGCTCTTTTTAAATTATAATTGTTCATGAAACAACTCAACTTCAAGTGGTGATCTAAATTAACAGTTATATTAAATTTAGAATTCGTTTGGGAAGTGGGTTGGTTTTTTGATTATTTTAGTTTGGGGTTAAAAACTTTATTTGGAATAAATTTTTTGATTTTTTAATTATTTGTTAGAAAAAAAAAATAATAATTATGGATTGAATGTAATTTTTATTTTATTAAATTAAAAAATTTATTTTATTTTTTTATCAATAAAATAATCCTAAAGTTAATCTAACTCAAGTTGCCAAACGAAAGCTTAAAAATTTGAGATATTACTATTACGTATTAAACTTTCAGTATGAGTAGAGTAGAGTAGGGTGAGTAGGTTAGGAGGGGTTGGTACACTTGTAAAGCAAAAGGATGGGGCAGGTTTAAGTTGACCCGACAACACCAAACCAAACCTCCCTTCCTTTCCTTTCTATAGAGGGAAATCAAATCAAATCAGATGCCCCCACCCATTATAGCCCGTGACGTCCGCCTCCCGCGCCGCTGAATGGAACCGGCTATATCCGGTCATCCGAATCTCAACCCCCCTTCCCTTTTGACATCTGGCCTCCACTCCCTTACCTTTACAACCCAAACTCACACGCGCCAATACAGCACGTGTACACACACGTCCTCCTATTATTATTAAAGTTATGGTACGGACCCAATAATCTATCAAATTTTTTACTGGCTTATTTGAGAACATGTTAATTTAATAACTTTTTAATTATTTGGTTAAAATATGAGTTAAAAAAAATTAGTATGTATGAGATGACTTTTTGACTTTTTACGAAAAGATGTGTAAAAAATAGAGAGAAAATAGAATTTTTAACTTTTTGGTATGAGTTGTTGACTTTTTGACTAATTTAGTAACTTTTTGACTTTTTGACTAAAAAATTCGGTTGCCAAACAAGGCCTCTTGTATGGATGTGAGACTACGGGTGTGAGACTCACATATATATAAGTTTGTGTAGTCTCACACCCATATAACAAGTTTGATAGAAAATTTGATAGATTATTTAGAGTCCAAGACATTTTTCTTATTATTATGAGTTATTTTGGCAAAATCTTATTTTAGCGAAAAATCATTGTGAAAAAATCAAATTTTATCTTCTTTTTTTTTTGGTAAAAAGTCAATTAAAATAATTAATTTTTAAAAGAATTTTGTGTGTAATTTGTCTCTATTATATTATTTTTATATAAAGTAAGTGTTCGAATTGGTGTCTTTAAATTTTTGTTTTTTTATAGGTTAAAACCTTATTTTGGAAGGTTGATTTTTAATAAAAAAAATTATTATAAGTTGTCAAATTATTTTTTTTTTTAATTTTGTTATATATTTTTCATAAAATATTAAAAAATAATAATTTCCTAAAAAGGTAGGTAAAAAAAACTTGTATGTTTGGGATGACTTTTTGACTAATTACGAAAAGATGTGCAAAAAGTAGAGAGAAAAGAGAATCTTTGACTTTTTTGTATGGGTTGTTGGCTTTTTGGCTAATTTAGTAACTTTTTGACTAATTGGCTAAAATAGCCTCTTGCCAAACGAGGCCTAATTTAGTAACTTTTTGACTTTTTGACTAAAAAATTCGGTTGCCAAACGAGGCCTCTTGTATGGATGTGAGACTACGGGTGTGAGACTCACACATATATAAGTTTGTGTAGTCTCACACCCATATAACAAGTTTGATAGAAAATTTGATAGATTATTTAGGTCTCGCTTGGGAGTCCTAATTTTTAGTCAAAAAGTCAAAAAGTTATTAAATTAGCCAAAAAGTCAACAACCCACATCAAAAAGTTAAAGATTCTCTTTTCTCTCTATTTTTTGCACATTTTTTCGTAAAAAGCCAAAAAGTCATCACAGACATACTAGTTTTTATTAACTCATGTTTTAGCCAAATAGCCAAAAAATTATTAAATTAGCATGTTCCCAAACGAGGCCTTAGAGTCCAAGACATTTTTCTTATTATTATGAGTTATTTTGGCAAAATCTTATTTTAGCGAAAAATCATTGTGAAAAAAATCAAATTTTATCTTTTTTTTTTTTTGGGTAAAAAGTCAATTAAAATAATTAATTTTTAAAAGAATTTTGTGTGTAATTTGTCTCTATTATATTATTTTTATATAAAGTAAGTGTTCGAATTGGTGTCTTTAAATTTTTGTTTTTTTATAGGTTAAAACCTTATTTTGGAAGGTTGATTTTTAATAAAAAAAATTATTATAAGTTGTCAAATTATTTTTTTTTTTAATTTTGTTATATATTTTTCATAAAATATTAAAAAATAATAATTTCCTAATGAGCTTATGTAAAATTTTGAAAACACCAACAATTTTATTTTTGGAGATTATTTTGTTCACCAACAACTTTTTTAAAATTCAAAATAAAGACTAGTACTTCTATTCGCACCGCAAAAATACCTTCATTGAGTTTTTATTTTTTATTATTACAATTTTATCTTTACTTAAAATTATCAAAAAAGTAATCAAATTTTAAAATCTTAGGGCTGGTTTTGGGTGTCCTAAAAAAGTGTATTTTTTGTCTTTTTGGACTAAAAAAGACAAAAAAAAATATGGAGGTTTGGGTTAACTTTTTGACTTTTTATGGAAAAATGTGTATTAAAAAATTGTATAAAAAAAAGTGTGTAAGAGATGATAAGAGAGGAGTGGGCCCCAGCTGTACAACCGGCTGTACAACCGTCTGTGTAATTTGAGTTGAAAATTATTGGCTAATTTTTGTACAAAGCATTGGACGGTTTTGTTTGGCCTGTGGGGGTCATCACGGGTCCCATTTTAATAATCTGAACCGTTCAATGTGTGTAACTCGTCGAACACTATGTACCTACAAAAAATTATGTTAATCGAATATCGATAGCTATCTGATTAGATTTATTTATTTTTCAATCATTAATTATAACACCATCCATTTGTTGTACATAACTGATTTGATCATATAGTTATCGATATCCGATCAATGTGATTTTTTGCAGACATATAGTACTCGACGATTTCTACACATTGACGGTTCAGATTATCAAAACGGGACCCGTGATGACCCCCATAGGACGAACAACGGTGTGTGTAAAAACCACACCCAATCATTTCTTTTTCCTCCACTGCCGCACACAGCACTGCCCTACACATCAATTCGGTGAATAGTGATTTTGAAGAAAATTGATTTTTTAATTTTTTTTTTGGTGAATAGTGATATCTTTTTAGATTTTGGAATAATTTTTTAACTTTTTGACTTATTTAGGATAAGTCAAACCAGCCCTTAATTTACCCTTTCACGCATCCCTTCTCGACCATCCGTTCAAAACCCTAATTAGTCCATATTTTTATTTATCTTTGAAGTTTTATAATCTAAAAATATAAAAAAACAATTATTTTTTGACAAAAAATTAAAAAGAAAAACTATTGAATGGAGTTTGCTTGTTTTGCACGCGCAATAGGCATAATGTGGGAGTAATCCTCCTCTCGTCCTGGTAAGAGCGCACCAAACAAGTCCAAATCCCCTCCAGACTCGACTCCACTCACTCCACTTTGATGAGTCAAGAGTCTCTCCTTGCGGCCCCGTCCTTGCGTCCATCCTTGCTGGCCTTTGGGCCTATTTTTAGGTCTAATTTTGATAATTCGAACCGTTCATATTTTATGATTTATTCAGTATATCATACCTTTAAAAAATCAAGTTGATCGGATGTCAGAAAGCATGTGTTCGGAAAACTGTTTATTAAATTATTTAAAAAATAGTTTTTAGTTCAATTTTTCGAACACATACTTTCTGATATCCGATCAACTTGATTTTTTACAGGTATGATATACTGAATAAATCATAAAATATGAACGGTTCGGATTATCAAAATTGGGTCTAAAAGTAGACCCGAAGGCCTGCAAGGACGGGCGCAAGGACGGAGGCCGCAAGGAGAGGATCCTGATTCCACTTTGATACCACTTCCCAAAACCACTCTAATTTCTAGCGAGAGAGAGACAGATAAACAGACAAACAGAGAGAAAAAAAAGAGAGAGAGTAGAGAGACAGAGACAAATGTAGGTATTGACAAGTGAGTCAGACTTGTGAATCTCTGAGAACTGTGAAGAAGTTAATGAAAATTGTATCAAAAGTCAGCTCTCTCAAATCACTCACCCTTGTCTTGTCCAAAAATTTTATTTTATTTTTTTATATAGATTTCCAGGTTTTCTTTTCCTTGTCTTCAAGTAAGTGGGTTTTTGACCTATTTTAAAATAGGTTATTAAAATATATATATATATATAAATATATATATATTAAAAAAACGAAAAAATTAATAAATCTAATTTTAATTGTTCTTTGATTTGAAATCTCCACTACCTTTTTTATCTGTATCGGTGTATTTCTTTTTAAAGATTCTTTGGTTGTTTGTGTTTGAAAAGAAAAGATAGGTAAGAATACTAATTAGTGTTATTATTGATGATGTCATGGTGGGTTATATCAAACTCCCTCCGTCCTATAATATTAGTCCCTTATTTTATTTTTTATTGTCCCAAAATATTAGTCTCTCTTTAAAAATTAAGTATAAAAATAATATAAATTTTCCATTTTGCCCCTCTTTTAAATTCATAAATAATATAAAAAGTACAATTATGACATTGATATTCCCAAAAAAAGTGTACTATCAAAGGGTAATTTTGGAAAATCAAATTTTTAAAAGTACAATAATTGTACTACCAAAAAAAGTTGGATTCCCCAAAAGGGACCATTATTTTGAGACGGAGGGAGTAAATAATTTGATATTTTAATCTTAATGTTTAGTTTTTTTTTTCATTTTTTTATTAAGTATTATGTTATTAATAATCTTTTTAGAATTTTAAAATTGGTGGTGTCTACTTGAAAAAGAAGAGAGAAAGAGAGAGAGAAACGTCTGGGTTTAAAATTAGAGAAAAGAGAGAGTGAGGGAGAGAGAGAACACATTTGTAGAAAAGTGGCACAATGTTGATGTTGGGTTCACAGGGGACTCTCTTTACTTCACTTGCAATCTTTCTTGTGTCTTCACTGTGAGCCTTTTTTGTTTAAGAAGTTTCTTTCTTTATTTATGTCCATTGATTGTAGTAGAGCATGTTCAGTCTTCTAATATCTGATCTAGGGTTTTGACATCATTCTGGTCTTTAATGGTGGTGATTGTTGCTTCATTCAGAAGCTGCAGAGTGGGTATCTTTTTTTGGTTTCTGAGGCATTTTGGGATGTGGGTTTGAAATTTCTTCATTTGGGGTTTTCCTCTTTACTTTCTTTTCCAAAAGGGCAGTGCTTGTGTGTGATGTGAGCTAGGGTTTTCCGGGGGGGAGTCCTTGATCTCTGTGGTCTGGGGTTTTGATTTCATGTGGATCTCAATGGGTTTTTACTGACAAGCTGATTACTTCGTTTGTAAGTTCTTTTTGTGGGTTTTTGAGGTGTTTTGGGATGTGGGTCTGAAGGGAGTGGTTGTCTTCTTGCTAAACTTAGGCCTCTCATTAATGGTCTAGGGATTTGATTCCAAGTGGGTGTTAATTGTTCCTTGACTTGCAAGTGCTTTTGTTGTGGTTGTTCTAGTCCTTCATTTGGATTCTTTCTCACTTCCTATCATATCAAATTGAGCTAAGTTTCTCCTGGTTTTTGCTCTGGTTTGATTTGGTTATATCTCATTTGGTTTCAGCAATGGCGGGGCTAGGGTTTATTCCAATGAATTTCTTCAAACTAGCATTCTTGGCTTGTTTTATCTTCTCATGCTTGTCTCTTGGAACCCCAAGTCAAGCCTGTGATCCCAATGATCTGTTAGCACTGAAAAAGTTTGCAGGCAATCTCACAAATGGGTCCATTATCGCAACATGGTCCAATGATTCCATTTGCTGTGAATGGGAAGGTATTAAATGTGACCATCGTGGTAATGGATCATCAACAACCAGAGTAAGTATCTTGAATCTCTCCGGAAAAGGCTTAAGAGGCTCAATTTCACGCTCTCTGGGCAGTTTGGATGAGTTGAAACTTCTTGATCTTTCTTGCAATCATCTGGATGGTGAATTGCCCACGGAGCTTTCGAATTTGAAGAATCTTGAAGTTCTTGATTTCAGCCACAACATGTTAACAGGGCCTGTTTCAGGGTCACTCGTCGGTTTGAATTCAATACGATCAATCAATATATCGAGCAATTCATTCAATGGGGACTTGTTTGATCTTGGGGAATTCCCAAATCTTTCAGTGCTCAATCTCAGCAGCAATTCATTCGCTGGTGGATTGAATTCACAAATCTGCATTTCATCAAACAAGATTCAGATTCTTGATTTATCAATGAACCATTTGGCAGGTGGGCTCGATGGATTAGGCAATTGCAGCACATCTCTACAACAATTGCGCGTTGATGGCAATTCGCTTGAAGGCCAGATTCCAGACTCATTGTATTCAGTGTCATCTTTGGAGCATCTTTCAATCTCTGCCAACAATTTTTCAGGCCAGCTGAGCCCGAAACTCAGTAAGCTTTCGAGCCTCAAAATCTTGGTTATTGGTGGAAATCAATTTTCAGGTCCCCTTCCAAATGTGTTTGGGAACCTAACACAATTAGAACATTTAATTGCATGTTCAAACATGTTTTCCGGGTCATTGCCTTCGACCCTGGCACTCTGCTCAAAGCTACGAGTGCTTGATCTTCGGAACAATTCTCTATCAGGATCGATAAATCTTGATTTCACTGGATTGCCTTATCTATGTACACTTGATCTTGCCACAAATCACTTCATTGGTCCCCTGCCCGATTCAATATCTAGTTGTCACGAGTTGAAAGTGTTGAGTGTTGCTAAAAACTCGTTAACTGGCCAGATTCCTGAAAGCTATGCAAACCTTTCGTCCCTTGTGTTTCTCTCATTATCAAACAACAGTTTTGTGAATTTAAATGGGGCATTATCAGTACTGCAGCAATGTACAAATCTCACCACACTCATCCTTACTAGAAATTTCCATGGAGAAGAAATCCCAGAAAATGTGATTGGGTTTGAGAGCTTAATGGTTTTTGCACTAGGGAATTGCGCTCTTAGTGGTCAAATCCCGATTTGGTTGCGAAATTGCCGGAAATTACAAGTTGTTGATCTTTCTTGGAATCATTTGAATGGTAGCATCCCGCCTTGGATAGGTCAGATGGACAATTTGTTTTACCTTGACTTCTCAAACAACTCTCTCACTGGAGAAATTCCAAGGAGTTTGACAGAACTGAAGAGTCTCATTTCCGGGAGTAGCAGTTCATCCAATCACACCACGGCCCTGGGCATTCCCCTGTACGTCAAGCGAAACCAGAGTGCTAATGGTTTACAGTACAACCAGGCCTCAAGTTTTCCCCCATCAATTTACCTGAGCAATAACAGAATAAACGGGACAATTTGCCCTGAAATTGGGCAATTGAAACAGCTCCACGTCTTAGATTTGAGCAGGAACGTCATAACTGGGTCCATCCCTAGCTCCATATCAGATATGGGTAACCTGGAGGTTTTGGATTTATCGAGCAATAATCTCTATGGATCAATCCCTGCATCGTTTAATAAGCTCACATTCCTGTCAAAGTTTAGTGTGGCAAATAATCATTTGCGGGGTGCAATTCCAACCGGGGGTCAGTTCTTGAGCTTTCCTGGATCAAGCTTTGAGGGTAATCCTGGACTTTGCGGGACAATAGACTCCCCTTGTAGAGCTATTAATAATATGGGGACTCAACCCGCTATCTCATCTGGTTCAAATAGCAAATTTGGTCGAAGCAGCATCTTTGGAATCACTATCAGTGTAGGAGTTGCCATTGCAGTGCTCGTGGCCATTGTTATGCTCAAAATGTCAAGGAGGGGTGTTGGAGATGTAGTTGAAAATTTGGATGAAGAAACCGGGAGGCCACATAGGTTATCCGAAGCGCTCGGGTATTCAAAATTAGTGCTTTTTCAGAACTCGGAATGCAAGGATCTTACAGTTGCGGAGTTGTTGAAATCCACGGGCAATTTTAACCAGGCAAACATAATTGGGTGTGGAGGATTTGGCCTGGTTTACAAAGCCAACCTTCCCAATGGCGTGAAAGCAGCAGTCAAGCGGCTTTCGGGGGATTGCGGGCAGATGGAACGTGAATTCCAAGCTGAAGTGGAAGCTCTCTCAAGAGCTCAGCATCGAAACCTTGTTTCTCTCCAGGGCTATTGTCAACATGGAAATGACAGGTTATTGATTTACTCATATATGGAGAATGGAAGCTTGGATTATTGGCTACATGAGCGGGTTGATGGGGGTTCGCTTCTTAGGTGGGACACGAGGCTGAAGATAGCTCAAGGAGCCGGTCATGGCTTGGCTTACTTGCATAAGGAGCCAAATATAATTCATAGAGACATAAAAACTAGTAACATTTTGTTGGATGAAAAATTCGAAGCTCATTTAGCAGATTTTGGTCTCTCAAGGTTGCTTCACCCTTACGATACCCATGTAACGACAGATTTGGTGGGGACATTAGGGTATATTCCTCCTGAATATAGTCAGACATTGACGGCCACTTTCAAGGGTGACGTTTATAGCTTCGGTGTCGTGCTTCTCGAGCTTCTCACTGGTAGGAGGCCTGTGGAGGTTTGCAAGGGGAAGAATTGCAGGGACTTGGTGTCATGGGTATTTCAGATGAAATATGAGAAGAGGGAGGAGGAAATATTTGATTCATTGATATGGAATAAGAATTATGAAAAGCAGCTCCTTGATGTGCTCGGCGTAGCTTGTAAATGCTTAGACCAAGATCCGAGGCGGAGACCCTCCATCGATCAAGTTGTTTTGTGGCTTGACAGAGTTGGCACTGAGGGTACGAAGGAATAACTCTGTTCACTGTCTGTTCTCTGACAGAGCCAAGTTTTCTGTTCAAATCACAAAAGTGGTTAGTATAACTGTAAAGCTACACGGTTTAAATTTCCGTGCTTTGGTACCGAATAGTGTTGTTGAATTACTTTAAATTAGATATTAGACACCTTTTTGCATACCTGGAATAATCATTGTAGAGCTTCTAAATCTTTTGTGTATATATATATTTTCTGATATATTGCTATGTAATGTCCTGGGAAAGTGAAATATAAAACCTGCCTTTGCGCTTTACATGGCTTTGAAAATGAGCCTCTTTTTGGGTTGTTCTTTTCTTTGGCATTTGGGTCAAGATTTCCCTAAGAAAGAAGAGCCTATTTGATGGATATGTTTGATTATCTTCGGTCATCAAAATGATATTACTCCAATTTTGCCATCATACAATGATTTTAGGAATTTCTAAATTTTTATTTTTATTATTTTGGAATATTAGAACCAAAAGTTTCCTATTCGGTTAGGTTTTGTATTACGTGAGTCAACCGGACCTTTGTTGCTCTAATTTCTCAAAAGGTCTTCCGTCTCTTTTGCTAATTTTCCCTTCCCTCCAGTGTGCAGGGTGTGATCTAGAACTAGCTGATTATCATCGGTATGATCCACAACATATTCTTAGATACATATCTGATCCTGAATCAGGGTGACTGACTGCTATATTTGGGGTTAGATTGGGAAGTGTTTTTAATGGATGGTTAGTGGTTTGTGAAGTTAGAGAGGGTGACCGGGGGTGAATGAAGTGCCACATCACCATCATGAAAACCGGTGATCTTTTTCTTCTTTGCCCTGTTTGTGTGGAAAGGTAAAGAGATTTGTGTATTGGCTTTTGCAATATTTGCTGCAAAAAGCAGTGAAAGCTATGCCAAAATTAAGATTGTCAATCTGGTGCTGGTTCAATGAATCATACACAGTGACTAGTCATTTTAATGGATCAAACATAGGATTACATCCCTGTCAAAGGTAAGGATTAACTGACAAAGGATCTTTCATCATTAATTTCTTCTGTTGTTTTTGTAATTAGATCATAGGAATCTCCAAACATAATTCAATGGCTGTGAAGTGTTCTGAGATTTGATAAATATCTCATAAACCTTTGTTAGTTGTGTGGGCACCTTAGAAAGTTGATCCGAATATCCTTAGTTTAGTGCTCAATTATGTTTCTCTCATGTCATGTTGTGTGTCTGGTGGGAAGATGGGTTGAGTTGAGGAAGTTCTTTTTTGACTTTTGTTCGCATTGGCTGATGAAAAGTTGCCCACTAACTAGGGTTTGCTACCATGATTCCCTCCTTCACCCATCAATTGCCTCCTTTTTCCTTTCATGGAGTTTGGCAAGAAATGCATGCGGCGACTTCAAAAAGTGACTTTTCCACAAAAGTGTGACATTCTTATCATCTTTTTGTTGAAAATATTACCTTATTGCGTTTCCACTTAACCAACCAATAAATTCCAAGGCAAAGTTGTTGTCTATTTTAAGATAGGCAAAACTTCTAAGCTATATTTGAATTATGAATTTGAGTAGAAATTTTAAAAAAATTATAATAATAATGAAAAGATGAGAGAAATAGGGAGAAAAAAAAATTAGCTTATATTTTATTTTATTTTTAAAATTTTTAAATTCCTATTTAAATTTAATTCATGATCCATATACAACCCTAATATTTTTAAAAGAAATGACCACTTGGAATTGTCTCCCCTTCAATCTCTATCTCCGATTCCTAATGTATTACCGATTGAACAATCATGCATTAAGATTTTCGTGTCTGTAAATCTTCTATCAATGTAATTATTAAAAGTAAATAAAAAATAAATATTAGTTAAGAATCATCACCATGAGACATATTTTCATCACATCAATAAAGACAAAATGACAAGAATTTTATAACAGAGAATCCTTCGTCTTAGAGATTAATGAACTACTTCCAATATAAATAGATACCCAAATTAATTGTATTTTGAGATTCCCGTATTTTGAGATTTTTAACAAATTGTACAATTAATAATACTTTCGAAACAAGATATGATAATTTTGAACAATGATCTTGTACCAGGAACAACGTACAACATGTGGAATTCATAGTTGGAGGGTTGTGGATGAGTTTTGATGGGTAGATATTAGGTTGGCCGACCAACCTATCAATTGCCTTTTTGATGGAGTTTGGCAAGAAATCCATGACTTTCCACAAAGAAATCATCTTTTTTGTTGAAAAACATAAGCTTATTGCTTTTGGAAGGTACCAACCAAAATAAAATTTTAAAGGCAAAGTAGTTCTTTTGTTACTGTATTTTAAGTTAGACACGCAAATTAGAAAAACTGTATAGGATTCATACAAATTAGAGAAACAGTACAAAATTCTGTCTTTAATATGTTTGTTTTCATTTAGATAAGTGGTAAATTTTACAAATGTTAATAATTAAAATCTTAATTATTTTGTATGAATTTCTAATTATTTTACAAAAATATTTTCTCAATTTTATGTCCTTTAACCTAACATATTGTGCATCTTTCTCTATTTGTATGCTCTGCAATCATTCAGACCAATAACATGTTTCAGTATCATCAGTGTGGATGGACTATACCCTTTTCTTGCATGCAAAATACAATTGTACTTTATAAAAGTGGTCTTAGAGTTTCATCTGAATTTCCTTTTCTTTGATTTTCTTTTCACCAATTCAAAATTTAAACGAAATTCAAATTAGAGAGAACATGAATTGAGAGAACAGTATAAAATTTGTTTAAGACCTTTAAAAGCTAGTCATTGAGCCCTATGATTGAAGCAAGTTTCTCCGAGCTTATGAAGTTATAGGATATGACATTTTTGTTTTAAGCATTGTTACATCATATATATATATATATATTACTGTCTCACTCTCTCTCCCACGGCTATGGCCAAGAAGATGGAGAATGATGCAACAAAATGATACAAATTCAAGTCTCAAGAGGTCTAATGAAGTGGCCCACTAATGTGGCAAAAAGGTAAATAATGCAACTAATGTAATTCAACAATATCAATCATTCCTAATCAACTTTTAATTAAATTTACCATAAAATCGCATAAATCCTAATCAACACATAGCGCTAATCAATTTCTGATTTGGCCACCGATAAGACTTTCAATTTGCAGTTTAAAACATAAAACATAAACAGATCATTTAGCAGTCAAATAGATAGACTTGCATTTAATATGAGCCTGTAATGGGCCTTGATTCCAAGCCCGTCAATGCCACTCTAAAAATATATATTTTATTAATATAAAAGCAATTACATACAGTATTATCATAAGAATGATGTGGATTATTTATATTAATTAATTAAAAAAAATAGCATTAATTTAATTTATAGTTATAAAAAGGGATTTTTATTGATAAATCTATTTTAGAATTGTTATAACCCATTAGGTCTACAAAGGAATATTATAACCTGATTAGTCTCACATACTTTTCTTTTTATTCCATAAAGTCCATTTTACTAATTTTATATTTTTACCCGGACTATTATGCCCTTATATATATATATATATACTGTGTTAATACACATAACACGTTGCCTGTTTTTTCGTTGATTCAGTTTTGGCAATTTCTATCTTTACGCTTTTCATCATCATTCTAATTCAGATGGATACGTTTCTATTTTGCATGCTCGTTCCAAGGCTTTGACGTGCTAGGGTTTCGTTGTTACTGTTGTAGTATGGTTCGGTGATTTTCGAGTGAAGACGACGAATTGGACAGTGTTCGGTTGTCACATTTTCTGGAGTATAACTAGTTCAAATCAATTGTTTTCGAGTTACAGGACGATTGTAGGATTGCATGATTAAGGTTAGTATCATTTTGGTTATGAATACATGTTCAGTTTATATTTTGAATTGTATGATGGATCAGATGCTCTGTTTTTGGATTGATATGGATCGGATGCTCTGTTTGTTCAATTATATGCATTTTACGTGGTCCTGTGGAGGGGAGGTCATTCAAATTATGTGAAGAATGTGGATGTTCTCAGTTTACTTTGATGTATCCATAATGAGGCTCTGTGTGGGTGATATAATTCAGAGTATATGTATCAATGTGAATGTTTACATCCTGTTAATATTATATGAAGAATGTGGATGTTCTCATTTTACTTTGATGTATCCATAATGAGGCTCTGTGTGGGTGATATAATTCAGAGTATATGCATCAATGTGAATGTTTACATCTTGTTAATATTATGTGAAGAATGTGAATGTTCTCATTTTATTTTGATGTTTGTTTAATGAGGCTCTGTGTGGGTGATATAATTCAGAGTATATGTATCAATGTAAATGTTCACATCTTGTTAATGTTATGTGAAGAATGTGGATGTTCTCATTTTACTTTGATGTTTGCTTAATGAGGCTTTGTGTGGATGACATAATTCAGAGTATATGTATTAATGTGAATGTTCACATTTTGTTAATGTGAATTATGGATTTAGCACTTGAACTGCACACATAGTCATCTAATTTTTGCACCATGTGAATTTTCATATCGTTTTGGATTGTTGTTGATTGTTGTATTGTTGTGTTTTTACAGGAGATGGATACCTTTACGATGTTGGTGTGTACATATGGTTGCAGTACAACTGTAATAAATGTTGCCCACGCATTGTGTTATTCGCATTTGGTGGAGTGTTTGTGTGAAAAATGGGGTGAGTTGTCTGCTGGTTCTATTTCATTGTTCTGTCGGCTACCTGGGATTAATAGGTGTGATTTGGACAATGAGGAAGAATTTCAGAACATGTTATTGCTTGCTAAATCAATGGGGGTACAACATGTAGAATTTGTCATTGAGTTGAAAAGTGATATTGGTCCGTTAAGTAGCTCTGGGTCGCTGCGTATGGGGGTTGAGGAACAAATTAATGCACTACGGAGATTTTGCCACCATAAGGAGAAGGTGTTGTTGTCAGCCCCTTGGGCAAATGGTATTACGCATGCTGGACAACGGTTTGTTGGAGGTGCACAAGAATTTCGTGATGTTTTATGTAAGTATGCCATCCAATGTGGGTTTCAGTTTATGTATGTCAAGAATGAGACAACAAGAGTTACTACTGTGTGTACGATACGTGAGGAGAGAGGTTGCTTGTGGGCTATACATTATAGAGCACAATGAGCAAATGATTTTTTCTACATCAAGAGGTTTAGTGATGTGCATAGTTGTGGTACGGATGTCCGAACATCGAAGAATCCGCGAGTTAGTTCGGATTTGGTGTTGAGTACCATATCTGAAAGTGT